TTTTTATCAGATCCGTTGCAGCCCCTTTTTTAGAGATTTGGGTATGGAGGAAAATAGAGAGGGTTGTGTTTTCTGACACTTGGTGAGTTCCCTGGAACACCGGGGACACATATTCATGTATAAAAGACGTACCAAAGTGCATTTTGCATGATAGGTCCCCTTTAAAAGGTTTTGTAAATACTCTTCTGCACAGGAGTATTATTAAGTCAAAATAAAATGTGTTTTTATTCTTAGATTTGCAGGATGAAGTCCCAACTTTAAGCGTTATGATGAATGCAGATCCAGAGGGACAAAGAGAGAGAGAATATCTGAGATCTAAAAGAAAGTAAGTTTGTGTTTGTCTCTTGTATATCTGCTTGCTTGCTTGTTTGCTTCTGCTTGTGTGGAAGCGACTTGGCCGGCAGAACTGCAGAGGAAGAGCAGCTCAACGTCACATTTGATTTAGGAGGCGGCGAATAGAACCAATTAGCCGCTTTGGCCGGGGATCAAACGGCTATCTGTGGCTAAAAGAAAAAAGGCCCTCCTGTCCAATTAACAGAATTTATGGACAGGGCTAAGGTACCGCTGGGCTGTGATAAGCTAATTTGTTGTGTTTGCTTTACTGTACACTGCGGCAGGCTCTGATATATGTTGCTAATGAGGGTGACGGATCTGTAATCAAAGAGGAGTATGAGAGGAACAGACTTAACTATTAATCATCTGTGAAGTACATGTTTTAGTTCCTGATTGCATCTTTAGTTAATGGTTCCTCTATTTAATGAATGCATACATGTAGAAAAGCCCCTCACGGTGTTCAATGCAGCTATATGTGTCTACATTTCATTTTTGTTTACTTCCAGTGTTGACCATGGACTTTTATAAATAGTGGACATTGAAGGCACCATTGCTTTGTGGTCTACGGTTTAGCATGTTGTCGTCACTGGCTTGTTTTTTTGGACACAGAAGTGACACAAGAGGGGCGGAGCTAGGTACCACAGATTGTTGAACAAGACTTCAGGATAATTAGGTTGTTATAATAAACTTCATATACTTAAAAAAACACTTTGAAAGGGACAACACTATGACACTATCATAGTGTTGTCCCTTTCAAAGTGTTTTTTTTAAGTATATGAAGTTCATTATAACAACCTAATTATCCTGAAGTCTTGTTCAACAATCTGTTGTACCTAGCTCCGCCCCTCTCGTGTCACTTCTGTGTCCCTAAGTAGGCCTTTTAGTGTTTTTTTGTAACCACAAGTAAACTTCGAAGGTTGAGCTAAGTAAAACCGAAAGTTGAACAAGACATGTATTCATTCAAAATGTTATATTTAAAGGGGACCTATCATACAAAATGCACTTTTTGATGTCTTTTATACATAAACATGTCTCCCCGGTGTGTCAGGGAACTCACGCAGCGTCAGAAAATAAAACCCTCTCTCTTTTCCTCCGTACCCAAATCTCTAAAAACGGGGGAACAACGGAGCTGATCCAGATTTGCGTCCGATATGACGTAATATCTGAAATGTGGACCCACGGCCCTATCAGAAACGTTGCTATCAGAAACAATGCCCGACTGTTTTGGACGTAATATGGTCGGTGTTTACATTAGCATCGCTAACACTCAGAGCTAACCTGTACTGGAGAGCATGTGTGTGAAGAAGCAGGAAATAAAAAGGAACTCACCTTGTGGTATAACCGGCAAGAGAGAAAGCCTTTGAGCTCCATACTGTTTCAGAAACAATCCTTGATAATCCATGATATGGCGTTTCATCACAGCAGTATTTAGTTTAGACAGTAGCTGCCGGGTCCCGCATGAGCTCAGCCCCCTCCTTTTTATTTTTTATCAATTTCTTTTATTTTTTTAAGCTTTATACCCAAAAATCAGCACTTTTGAAACAGGAAGTGAAACAGAGGGATATGAGGCATGTCTAGAATGGGTGATCTGTTTGGTATTTTGAGCAAAACACTTCATCGACATGTTTTTTTTATATATCTGAGACCTATGCTATTGCCTAAAAATAGCATGATAGGTGACCTTTAACATTCATAAGTTAAACCTAACATGTGAAAGGGTAAACGTTTTTAGACCACAGCCTATTTTACATAGGTATTACAACTTCCTTATCAGTCACGTAATGTAATCCCATTGAATTACATTGGGAAAGAGACGTCTGTTACTCCGTTAATATTGAGTTTGAGATAGATATACTACCCAGAGACACTTGAAAGCCCAAAGGCCCTAGAAGTTGTAAAATGTGCTAAAAGCCACATTCAGAGTTATTGTCGTGTACATGCTCTATAGACCCTGAGGTCCTCTCCTGGTTGGGACTTACTGGTGCGCAGGGCGGAGGGCGTGACCTCGATCTCGCTGCTGGCCTGGTAGGGCTGGAAGGCCGAGGCCCCGCTGAGGTCCACAGCGAACAGGTCGGGGCTCTGGGTCCCCGTGGAGCTGGCACTGGTACCGTCTCCTCCATGGTGGGGCTCCTGTTCTTCATACACCGCTATCAGCTGGAGGAGGGAGGGACAGAGGACAGAGGACAGAGGACAGGTCAGAAGGTGAGGGATTTGAACATGCATATCATGAAATGTTAACAAGCTCAATAGATGGTTGTTGTATGTTGATGTGTATAAAAGAAGAAGGGTGAAGGAAGTACAACAGAAATTAGATCACATTTTGGAGGGAGATTTTCTTTGTAATCGACAAATTAGGCTTTAACCCAAACAATGATATCATACACCGCTATCAGCTGGAGGAGGGAGGACATTTCACAAGATGTTGGATTTGAAAATGCATATCATGAAATGTCAACAAGCTCAACATATTCTATTAACAAAAAAAGAGGGGTGTAAGAAGTACGACAACAATGATATCACATTTGGAAAGAGATTATCTTTGTACTCGACAAATAAGGCTTTAACCCAAACATTGATATCATACACCGCTATCAGCTGGAGGAGGGAGGACAGAGGCGAGGTCAGAAGGGGTTGGGTCTGAGAAACATGGTGCTTTATTTGACAGACAATGCATATAATAAAGTGTCAACAAGCTTAACTGATGTATGGAAAAGGAGCTGTCTGAGTACTTGTCAAAAAAGGCTTAAAATCCAAACAATGATATTGTGTGGACATTTTAATAAATAAATGAAAAGCGAGAAAGAAAGGGACACAAAGGGACCAAAAGGAAGGTGATGTAGATAAGATGTGAGAAAAAAAACATTCAATGTATCACATAATATCACAAACATAATGCTGATTTAAAAAGTAATACGAACAGAGGGGTGGAAAACCAAAGAAAATGGAGGGATAAAACTGGAGGGATAAAACCCCTAAAGGTTAAGCAGTCTGTGTGGAAACCAAAGCTCTTTGTTACATACATGTAAGCTGCTCCTTTTGAATCAAGTGTGATGTTAAGGACATAGCGAGTAATATGCGCTAAAACTATCTTTTTAACCTCGTAATGAGTTGTTTTTTTACTGTAACTGGTAAAAAGGGGATTTCATTTTACACATAATCTAATAATAACTACTCAGCACAAGAGACATACACTTAAGACAGGACTTTTTAGGAGTGGTTGTTCGTCATTTTTCTTGAATGACAGGCATTAAATATGGCTAAATAAGTTCAATTGACTCACTCCTTCAAACAGCAGTAAGAAAACGTGGATATAGAAAGAAAGTACAGGTAGTAAACTTGTCCGTGGTGAACAGTCAGCGCATGGTGGTCCCTTTCTGCTGAGAGTACTGCACACACAGTCTAAATGGAAATGGGGCTGGAGTTAGTCTCTCTATTCTACATTATGGCACTGAGCTGCTCATTACCTCCAATCATATCCTTTTCTCTCTCAAAATGCCTGCCTTCAAAGCTCTCCTCGCTCACAGATCTGATTAATTCCAGCCTCCGCTGAGCCCCTTTCAGTAGATTAAAAAGGAGATGCATGCCGTCGCTGTGTGACTCCCATCAACTGGCTTCAGTTAGACATGAATATATCCAGCGTTTGCCAAATCAAAAGGAGGTGATTTAACCCGTCCTGTGTGGTGAGATCTGATGTGGAGGCATGATTGTGATAATGTCCCCACTATACCCACTGTCCCATAATGAGGTTAAAAATAATCCAGATATCAGATCATCTGAGTCTTTAAGGACAACTTTAAGGAACACCCTGAGGCAAAAGCAGCGGATCAAAAACAGACATTATTTTCACTTCAGGAAAATGCATAACACATGTAGAGGCTGCCACACGAGGAGAACAAGTCAAATTATCAATTTAGTTTGATTCATATGCATAGATTTTCATAGAGGGGTTGAGTATACAGACTTTTAGCAGAGGCCCCATTATGCTATTTGAGGTTTGTTATATACGTTTTTGGTGCATGTAAACGGTCTGCAAAGCCTAAAATCCCTGTGTTCCCTCCCAAGAATCACGCTTCGTTTGGCTAGCGCTCCAACACATTGTACGTGATAGGCTAAGGGGGCGGGACATCTCTAAGGAGTTGACCAATCACAACAGAGCCGATCAGTCGTAGTAGAAGCACGAAATACAAAAATGAAAATTAGCACAATATCTCCTCTTTCATCAGCTCTTATCAATCTGTTTTACTTCCCCCTTGTTCTTCTTTCTGTTACACACACACACACACAACCACCATTACTGCTTGTACACATTAGCTCAGGGCTGATGCTAGCTCCGATTTGAAGTATGACTGCACATTTATGTAAATGGCCAAATGGGAAAAACGAGTCTTGAGTGTGAGTGTGAGTATGTGTATGTGTATGTGTATGTGTATGTGTATGTGTATGTGTGTGTGTGTGTGTGTGTGTTCCCCTTCAAGAGCCTGTTACTCTCTCCAGGGAGCCTGTCCAGCACGCCATAAAACTCCACAGCTCTGCGGCTAAATGTGGCTGAAATGAAGGTTTAATGTGCTGGAAAACTGGTAGTGGGATTTGAATAGTTTGAGCGTGTGTGTTTTAATGGAGTGTGTGGGTGTCCCTGAATGTAAGTGTGTGTGCTAATGCTTCTATTGACATGGTTGTGTGTGTGTGTATAAATGTGAGTGTGTCTTTAAGAGTGTACAGTAAATGTTGAAGTAGTGTGTTTTTATGAACCTTAAGACCATTTGGACATAGTGTCACACGTTGCCTGAATGGCTTCAATATGTTAATATTTCAAAAAGTACTTTATTCGAATATTCTGTCAAATACAAAAGAAGGTGAAACACGGCTTCTGTGTTAGAGCGCTAATAGAAGCGTGAGTGTTACATAGGGAAATAGAAATAAACAAAGGAGTCCTTGGAGGAGAACTTTGGGATTGTAGCCTTTGCAGACCATTTACATGCACTAAAACCTATATAACACACCAGAGGAAAGGGAAAACCCCGAAAAGAATAATAGGGCCTCTTTAATATTGGATTCTTTTGGAGAAAAAAAAATGCAGATGTGTTCGTGTAGAGACTCATTGGAGAAGGCAGTGTGTGTGTGTGTGTGTGTGTGTGTGTGTGTGTGTGTGTGTGTGTGTGTGTGTGTGTGTGTGTGTGTGTGTGTGTGTGTGTGTGTGTGTGTCATTTTCTTAAAACCTCTCCCATATGTTTGCATTATTCCATGAAGTAGCACTAAATAAATAACCAATTAAATATCACAGAATGAGAACAAGCCCTACATTTAAACAAATATGTATCTACAGCATGAATTAGCGCCATTTTATTTATTCTTCCCTCACTCGGTTTGATCTGTGTTTGAAATGGTTGTGTAATATGGAAAAATGAGAGCAGATGTGTTCCTCCACAGACTCATGGGAGAAGGCAGTGTTGTGTGTTTTATGCGAACACGTCTAAATAAAACTTCCTGAGTGTAACTGTGAGAGGGTCCTCCACTCTTCCCTCATTAAGGCTCAGTTCAGCCAGTACAGCTGAGTCAGCAAACCCCCCCTCTTCTTCATGTCCCGCTCCCTACGGACACCACAGAAGAAGAAAAACCCATAACCCATGTAATGTTAAACCCCTTGTTACATGGTAATCAGTTCAAATGCAGTTCACACCAGTGTTTCCGGCAGACCAGGGTTGAGAGGGCGTCCACCCCGAGAGCGGGGGGGGGGGACGGGGACGTGTCACGTGAATTGAATTTTGAATTGAGCCATCCGTTATAGATACTATCTCTTTACGTATTAATGATGGAATAGTTCTGATAGTTCCTGGGATTAGAGAACTTTTCACCCCTTGTTAGTCCCTGCTAGAGAGGTGGTACTATCCTGGGGAGAAAAAAGTTCAAATTTATGATTGGCTGGGCGAATTGCAAACCACGCCCCGTAAAACTCGGAAAGGTTTTGTGAAGCCGCCATTGTATTTGCTGGCATTAGCATTATTAGCATTAGCATTATCCCCGCGCACCAACGGAGAGAGACTAACTTATGGCAACACAAAAGAAAACGTGGGAGCGGTGGAGTGATGAGGAGGTGTCGACGTTCTGGCGATTTACTCGGAAGGCTTCAGTAGAAGCTGCTGGGAGTCCCAGCAGCTTCTACTGAAGCCAGTCCCCAACTCCGGGGACTTCCGGCCGGGGACTCCGGGTGGCAGTATACGCCGTGAAGTTGTTTGCGGCCTGCCAGTAAACCCAAAGCAGAAGAAGAAGAAGTGACGTCAGCGGCTTCATTTGCCTAATCCTTCCCCAGGGAACTTATTCCGGTGTGAACGTGATCTGCTCTTTAGTTCCATGGCAGCAAGACGCCCCCTTGGCGGAAACGCTGGTTCACACTATCACTGTCGTAGGGGCCCAACATCTGAAACCCATCTGATGTCATTGAGAGGTAGAAACGATCAGTGATAATCATGAATGCCGTAATAAAGAAATATGGTAAATCTGATGAGTGTGAGTCTATCTTAAGGACTTAATTGGGAAGTTAGAGTTTGCCATTGAGATTTTTGATGTGTTCACATTTCCTGGTAGTTTCATGATACACAAATCCCTAAAAAAGTGTGTTTTCAGACAAGTTCATGAGAGTTTTTGGAAATGTCCATTGACAATGTTCTCCTCAGTGTTGCAATAACCAGATTATTATATTTCCACACCACTGAACTTTCTGCTTATACTAAGAAATTGCAAATGCCTACATGTATCTATATTCAGAAGAGTAGATGGAAATAATAATAAATAATTCTCCTGTGCCAGAAACGTGAATATTTAAGTGAATATTATGGGGTGCAAACATCAGCCGCTCCCTCAGGACTCCATGTTTCTTCTGTTGGTTGTTTTGTTGACTGAATTGTTGTCCATTCCATTTGCTACAAAACAGCCTCAAGTCTAAGATAATTGCTGGTATTTGTTGACAAGCTCAGCCCTGACCCTGCTGACACACACACACACACACACACACACACACACACACACAGGACCATCCAATCAGAGCGTTGGCCTGCCCTGAGGGAAACAGAGGATGTGTTCACGCCACGGAGAAATGTGAGCTGATGAAATGGTGTCAATAAAGGTTGAGACAATTTAAAATGTTCCTATTTTTTTAC